CACAAACATACACACAACTCTACACACAACTACACACAACTACATAGACAACATCTACAAACATCTACAAACATCTACACACAAACTACTACACACACTACACACAACTACACACAACTACACACAACTACACACATCTACAAACATCTACAAACATCTACACAACTACACACAACTACACACAACTACACACAACTACACACTACACACAACTACACACAACTACACACAACATACTACACACAACACACATCTACAAACACATCTACACACAACTACACACAACTACACACAACTACACACAACTACACATACACACACACACATCTACAACACATCTACACACACATCTACACACACACACTACACACAACATACACACAACTACACACAACTACACACACACACAACTCTACAAACATCTACAAACATCTACACACAACTACACACACTACACACACTACACACACACTACACACACTACACACATACACACAACTACACACATCTACAACAACATCTACAACATCTACAACACATCTACACACAACACACACAACTACATACACACACTACACACTACACACATCACAACTGAAACATCTACAAACATCTACAAACATCTACACAACATCTACACACATCTACACACAACACACACTCTACACACACACACACACACACTACACACAACTACAAACATCTACAAACATCTACACACAACTACACACAACTATACACAACTACACACAACTATACAACAACTATACACAACTACACACAACTACACACCTCTACACACAACTACACACATCTGAAACATCTACAAACATCTACAAACATCTACACACAACTACTACACAACTACACACATCTAAAACATCTACAAACATCTACAAACATCTACACACAACTACACACAACTACACACATCTGAAACATCTACAAACATCTACAAACATCTACACACAACTACACACACAACTACACACAACTACACACACAACTACACACAACTACACAAACACATCTACAAAACATCTACACACAACTACACACAACTACACACAACTACACACAACTACACACATCTGAAACATCTACACAACATCTACAAACATCTACAAACATCTACACACACACACTACACACAAACATACACACACACACTACACACAACTACACACAACATCTACAACATCTACAAACATCTACAAACATCTACACACAACTACACACAACTACACACAACTACACACATACAAACATCTACAAACATCTACACACAACTACACACAACTACACACAACTACACACATCTACAAACATCTACAAACATCTACACACAACTACACACAACTACACACAACTACACACAACTACACACATACACATCTACAAACATCTACACACAACTACACACAACTACACACAACTACACACAACTACACACATCTACAAACATCTACACACATCTACACACAACACACACTACACACAACTACACACAACTACAAACATCTACAAACACTACACTACTACACACAACTACACACAACTACTACACACACTACATACACACAACATCTACACACAACTCTACAAACATCTACACACAACTACACACAACTACACACAACTACTACACACATCTACACACATCTACAAACATCTACAAACACACACTACACACAACTACACACAACACTACACACAACTACACACAACACTACACAACATCTACAAACATCTACAAACATCTACAAACATCTACACACAACTACACACAACTACACACAACTACACACAACTACACACAACTACACACAACTACACACATCTACACACAACTACACACATCTGAAACATCTACAAACATCTACACACAACTATACACAACTACACACAACTACACATAACTACACACAACTACACACATCTGAAACATCTACAAACATCTACACACATCTACACACATCTACAAACATCTACACACAACTACACACATCTACAAACATCTACAAACATCTACACACAACTACACACAACTATACACAACTACACACAACTACACACAACTATACACAACTACACACAACTACACACAACTACACACATCTACACACAACTACAAACATCTACAAACATCTACACACAACTACACACAACTACACACATCTACAAACATCTACACACAACTACACACAACTACACACATCTGAAACATCTACAAACATCTACACACAACTATACACAACTATACACAACTACACACAACTACACATAACTACACACAACTACACACATCTGAAACATCTACAAACATCTACATACAACTACACACATCTACACACATCTACACACATCTACACACATCTACACACATCTACACACATCTACACACATCTACAAACATCTACACACATCTACACACATCTACACACATCTACAAACATCTACACACATCTACACACATCTACACACATCTACACACATCTACAAACATCTACACACATCTACACACATCTACACACATCTACAAACATCTACATACAACTACACACATCTACACACATCTACAAACATCTACAAACATCTACAAACATCTACACATACAACTACACACATCTACAAACATCTACATACAACTACACACATCTACACACATCTACAAACATCTACACACATCTACACACATCTACAAACATCTACAAACATCTACAAACATCTACACACATCTACACACATCTACACATCTACACACATCTACACACATCTACAAACATCTACACACATCTACACACATCTACACACATCTACAAACATCTACAAACATCTACAAACATCTACAAACATCTACACACATCTACAAACATCTACAAACATCTACAAACATCTACACACATCTACAAACATCTACAAACATCTACACATCTACACACACATCTACAACATCTACACACATCTACAACATCTACACACACACACATCTACAAACATCTACAAACATCTACAAACATCTACATCTACAAACATCTACACACATCTACAAACATCTACACACATCTACAAACATCTACAAACATCTACACACATCTACAAACATCTACACACATCTACAAACATCTACAAACATCTACAAACATCTACAAACATCTACACACATCTACACACATCTACAAACATCTACACACATCTACATTTATCTGCACATAAAACCGTCTCATGTTTCAAACTCCACCAGGCCTGGTCACCTCAAGTCCTCGTGTCAACCAGAACAGTTTGTAGAATTCTGTCTGGAAATGGCCTCCATGGTCGAATCAGTGCACAGAAACCAGCACTAAAGAAAAGGCAATTCAAAAACCGTGTGGCATTTGCCAAGGCCCACAGCCTGATAAAAGGATGGACACTGGAAAAGTGGCAGAAGGTGGATTTCTCAGATGAATCCTCGGTTGAATTACATCACAGCCGCCGCAAATATTGCAGGAAACCTACTGGAGCCGCATGGATCCAAGATTCACCCAGAAAACAGTTAGGTTTGGTGATGGAAAAAACCTGGTCTGGGTCTGGGACTGTGCCAGAGATTTGCAGGATGGAAGGAAACATCAACAGGTTAAAATAGCAAGAAGTATTAGTGACCTTTTACATTCCCAACCATAAAAGAGGTTAGAGTTTGCAGCAGGATGGTCGAGGTGCTCCAGACTGACCGGTCCAGTCACCAGACATGAACATCACAGAATGAAAGAGGAAGCATGAAGATGAAACCAAAGAATCTTGATGAACTCTGGAGGCAGGTGAAACTGATTTCTTTGTTATTCTGATGATTTCATCAATAATTGTATGAATCATTGTCGAAACACGTGGACGTTCCTTCAAGCTCATGGAAGTCAGACAAGATATTAAACATGGATCTCACAGCAGAGCTACTTCATCCACTGATGTTATGAAACATATTTTTGTATTTATAGGTTTGACTTTTGTCTTCCCAAAATCTGACATTTCTGTGTTCATAAAATGATCATTTTTTCCTTCAGTGAAGCAAATTTATTTTACTATATTAAACATAATTTGGGAGGGTTTTAGCTTCATATGAGACATTTCTAAAACCAATGGATTCAAAGTCAAGTTACCAACTGTTGTTTCTACAAAATGGAGAAGTGATAAGACTTTTGTCAGGGACTGTACACACGTTTATACACACACACACACACACACACACACACACACACACACACACACACACACACACACACACACACACACACACACACACACATTGAACCAGCACAAATAATGAATAAATAATGAAATAAAGTTTGTTTATGAAACACTTAAAGGCGGCACTCATTAACTTTACTTTATTTAAACAAATAAAACTACACTGTGATATAAGATTAATTCAATTATTTAACTCAAAGAGAAACATGCAAATAAAATTATATTTCTGTGAGTGAAACATCAGTTCCTCTGATATATATATATATATATGAATATATATGACCTATTATATATCTGTCACCTACTGCTGTACATACACACTATATCTATGTATATATACCTCCCTCTCTCTCTCTCTCTCTCTCTCTCTATATATATATATATATATATATATATATATATAGAGAGAGAGAGAGAGAGAGAGAGATAGATAGATAGATAGATAGATAGAGATATATCACAATTATTATATCTATGACCAACTATATCTCAAACAATATAAATTAAATATAAGTAACATTAAAGGGGAGGTACACATATATAAGTAACATTAAAGGGGAGGTACACATATATAAGTAACATTAAAGGGGAGGTACACATATATAAGTAACATTAAAGGGGAGGTACACATATATAAGTAACATTAAAGGGGAGGTACACATATATAAGTAACATTAAAGGGGAGGTACACATATATAAGTAACATTAAAGGGGAAGTACACATATATAAGTCAGATTAAAGGGGAGGTACACATATATAAATCAGATTAAAGGGGAGGTACCGTGCTGGTGGTAGCTGGTGCCGTAGCCGTGGCGTGGGGCGACGCGGTGTCGTGGGCGGTAGTACGAGTTGTAGTAGTTGTACCAGGGGTAATAGTTGGAGTTTTTGTACGGGTTGTACGGGTCGTCTCCCGCCATGGCGTCCGCCTGGGCGAACTGCTCCGTCTGCTCCGCCCTGCGTCTGCTGCTCGCCTCCACACGGAGCTGCTGCGTACCGCTGGACACCGGGACGCGGCGGCCGACGTCACTGCTGTTAGAGCTGAGCAGCACGGTGACCTCGGGGGCGGCGCTCGGGCTCCTCTGGTGGGTCTGGTTGGTCTGGTTCCTCTGGTTGGTCTGGATGGTCCTCACCCGCCCGAGTCGGTACGCCGGGCCTCGGCTGCGCAGACTGAACACCTGCCCGTTGTGCCGCCAGGTGAAGTCGCTCTGAGCGCCACCCACAGGCAGAAGAGAGACGACACAGGCCAAGAGCAGCAGCACGTCCACACACTGCTCCCTCAT